TCCTTAACACACGGAATGCAGGAGGGAATGGGGAGGGCTTGTGAGAAGGAATTAAGTGTGGCTTGGGCTGCTTCTGGCTTCTCCATAAATGCGACACCTCCTCTGAATGGAGGAACAGCTGAGATAAGTGACTGCTAATCCCCCCTGTGCCGGGGAGGAGGCTGGCCGCTCCCTTCCAGATCCCAGCAGATGGTGGATGAAACAGGCTGCCCTCAAGGCAAGGGCAGCAGGGACTGTCCCACCTTCTGTTCCTTCAGCTTGCCTTGCACGTATTCCTCCTGGCCTGTCCATGCCATGAAGGGCCTTGCTGGCCCTCCAGAGCCCTGAGGGCCCATCAGCTTCATCGTCCCGCTGGGACACACAAGGTCAGCCAAGCTGGACACTGGCCAGCACTGGCAGGCTGGACTGCATCTAGCAAAGCTCCACAGGCTCAGGGAAGGCCTGCAGTGGGAAAAAAAAGACTTACTTGGGGAAGTGGGCTGAGGGCTCATTTGAAATGCAGACTCAATTTTCTAGGGTAGGACCCAGAAATTTAAATTTCTATTAGGCAGCCAGGTGCAGATGATTCAAGCCTCCTCATGTGAGAAACAGCTATCTCAGAAGACAGGAAGGTATTTTTGGTGGTGATTACCGACAGGGCTTCACTGAGGTGCCTGGGTTTGAACTATCTTTCTTTTGCTTAACTATGTGGCCATGGGCAGATGGGGTTCCATAGTTCCCTGCCTCTTCAGCTATATTAAGCAAGCTCTCTCCAATTGCAAGGCAGTTTCCTGGAGTTAGAAATTAAGTTAGTTACAATTAGCATTAAAAAATAAAACTAGGAGGTTGATAGCACAAAACTGTAAATATACTTAATACGATTGAACTATACATTTTAAATGGTTGACACAGTAAATTTGATGTTCTATATATTTTACCACAATGTTTCAAGAGAACACCAAAAGAGAGAAGTTATTTTTATACATTTAAATAGATGGAACAGAAACAAGTCTCATTTTTCAAATTAAATGGCCCTCTGAAAATTTGTGTTAAATGAAAATAAGTCATGGAATCTCACTTTTGCATTAATATATGTTTCTTTGTCACTACCAAAACAGAATTCAACATTTTTTAAATGTGGAAATGGAGTAATAGGGGCTGGGGATTTAGCTCAGTGGCAAAGCACCTGCCTAGCAGGCGCAAGGTCATGAGTTCGATTCCTGGTACCGGAAGAAAACCAAAAAAAAAAAAAAGAAATGGAGTAATAATACAATAGTGAATATTACACAATCACAAATCTTTAAAGACAAAATCTGCAAAACACAAGAAGTAAAAACAAAAATAGACAAATGGTATTACATTAAGCTAAAGAGCTTCCACACACCACAGGACAACCACTGAAGAAAAGAAACAATCTACAGAATGGGAGAAAATATTTGCAAACTATATATCTGTCAAAAGGTTAATATCCAAAATGGATAAGGAACTCAGTGAAGTTAATAGCAAAAAAAGCAGGTTAAAAAACTGGTTAATTGATCTCAGTAGACATTTCATAAAGGACATATATATATATATATATTAGCATATTTCATGCACTTCTTGAGCACATATGTGCATATATGTAGACATATATGTTATGTGTGTATGTACATATGTGCTCAACAAGTGCATAAAAATGCTTAACATAACTCATTAGCAAAATGCAAATCAAAGCCATCCAACCCCTGTAAGAACACCTATTAACACTGGTTAAGATGCGGATGAAAAGGAACCACTGCACACTGTTGGTGGGAATGCAAATTGGTCCAGCCATTAAGGAAAACAATATGGAAGTTCCTCTAAAAATTAAAAATGAAACTATTGTATGACCCAGCAATCCAACTACTGAATATCTATTGAAAGGAAATGAAATCAGTATGTCAGAGACATCTGCACTCCCATGTTTACTGCAGCGCTATTCATAATAGCCAAAAAAAATGAAAACCAAATTGACCACCAACAGATGAAGAAACTATGGTATGTGAACACAATGGGATACTACTCAGGCATAAAAAGAATGAAATACTGTTGTTTGCAACATCGTGGACGGAACTAGAGATGATTATGTTAAATGGAGTAAGCCAGGCACAGAAAGACAAGCACCACGTGGTCTCATTGATCTGTGGAATCTCACACTATTGCTCTCACAGAAGTTGATGGCAGAGAGGTGGTTACCAGAGGCTGAGGGGAAAGATGGAGAGAAGATGGTCAATGAGTACTAAGTTATAGTTAGATAGGAGTAAGAAGTGCTAGTGTGCTGTTACACAGTAGAGTGACCATAATGTGCCATATATTTCAAAATGCTAGAAGAAAAGATTTTGAATGTTTTCACCATAAATCGTTTTTTATTAAGGTGTATTTTTCTTAGCATATGTTTATCATACCTAGTAATTACATTCATCTCGGGGAACTGGTACATATGTTTTCACCATAAATCCTTAAGAAAAAAGTATTTTCCTCACTATAAACATAACACATTAAAATACATTTTGTTTCCAGGATCAAAAATGAATTGAATAGAACACAAGCCATGTTTTTAAAATGTTTTAAAGACAAATATCATTTCACAAAACTATCCCTGCACCCATCTATCCACCTGCTGCGATGGCCTATGATACTGTGGTGGATGAGCTGGAAATGACTTACTGAACCCTAAAAATATTGCAATTTGATTCAAATATTATGGTGTTAGGTTCTAGGGTGCCTTTGCACATGTAGCCATGAACATGACACTCTCCCATTAGCCACTCCCAAGTAAAAACTGTCTTTCTCTCATAAAAATATTCACAAACTTCACTTCCACTCTGCCTTATAAGCAATTAAATGCCACTTCATTTGGAAAGTTTCCTCTGGACTTTCTTTCAGATGCCTCCCTTTTGTTATTATTCCAGGTATACAACTCTTTTTCTTCCTTTTTTCCCCCCTGGAAATCTTTTCTTTAAAGAGAATAAAAAAATAATAAAAAAACCACTTTCTTTCCCAGCACATACATACCATAACTGTCTCTCACTCTTCTCTAATATGGAGGATCAGTGCTATTTATCACCAGATCCTTGAGACTAGCACAGTTCCTTTCCCATAGTCAGTGGGATACTGATGACTGAATGAGACATTGGTGACTCACTGAATGAATGAAATTGGCCCAGCTCTGCAAAAGAGACAGCTACTGGGGCCTCCAAAAGTGTCATTAGCTATATTGGATCAAATTCATTTCGAATCTTCTATGATTTTACATCATGTGTCTTTTATTATTATAACATTCAGTGCCCTTGTAAGGATTATGGTACCCATTTCTAGAGGGGAAAACTAGGTCTCAGGAAAGATACCTGAGTCATCTCAGAGGAAATGAATACAAAGTATTATGTGACAGAGGCAAGATTTGAAGTCTGGCCTGTTTGACCTTTTCTCCTTTTCCTCACTTCTACATCTGCTTTAGCCATGCCCGCTCTGGCTTTGAATCCTGTTAATAGGTGCTCTTCGTAAGACGCCCGCTGTGTGGCAGAGCACGGGCCCCGCCAGGCCTCTCACCTGCCTCCATCACCCAGCGCCCCACAGTTTCTTCTCCAGACCAACCCAAACATGGTTGGGGAGCTCAGAAGCGAGGGCCTAGCATTCTCCACTCTGCACAAATATCTAATCAGCAGCCTTCTCAGCATATCAATCCAGGACCACTCTACAGAGGGATGCCTGTGGCCAGTGTTCTATTTTTAACCAGTGTGAACCAGAGGAAAAGCACAAGCATTAGAAACTCAAGCGCTAGTCAGGGCACCCCAGGGCAAGCTAGTGGCCTGTGTCCTTCCTCGGTCTCCCTCCCCCCTTGCCCTGTCCTCGCCTCATGCCATCTTTCTTTTTACTTCTCACATGTCCCAAGATTCTTCAACTCTACTTTCCACCAGTGAGATGGTATCAGTCATTTCTACCAGTGTTTCACATTTCAATGGACAGGCCAGTCAAATGGGATCTTGCTGAAAAGCAGATTCTGATTCCGGAGACCGACGTGGGGCCTGGGACTCTGCATTTCTAACTCAGTCTTGAGGTGAGGACTCTGCTTGTGGCCAGACTGTGTTTTCAGGATGAAGGGTTGATTGTTCTTATGATTTAAATTGCTGTTATCTTCTCAGCAAAAGTATGTGCTTTTTTAGATGAGTCACCACCTTGAGGACTTTTGTCCCCAATTCAAAGATGCTCATAGCCATTAGCAAGTGGGCAACTACTCTTGACATTTGTGCTTTGAATTACTTTAGCAGCAAGGCATCCCTTTCCTGCCTGAAGATGGGAATGTTGGATCCCAGGATGGATGAGGGCTGCCTGGCATCTGCACTGGTCACCTCTCCAGCAAACCTTGGCAGGCCTTGTCCCCCTCCAGGCCCTGACCCACCTACACGGCACTAGGACCAAAGCTGGTTCACCTCAGCTCGCCCACCACTGCACACAGCCTAGTTCAGGCTGGTGGGGTGTGGACAAGAAGGGTGCCCTGTTCCAGGAGGCCCTTTTGCAGCCAATCCAATGTGCTGCTGTGGTGCCCTTTGCGCCCTAGAGGACTGCCAAGGGATCTGCTCCTCCACTCCGCGTCCTGGAAGATGAGAAGCTGTTACTGTGGCCCAGCTGTCAGGACCCCTTAGCCGGGGGCAGGGCGCCAAGCCTTCCCTGGTTTACTGTCCCCTTAGGCTGGCGGGCTGTGGAGGAACAAACCCACAGCGCACCGGGAAGCTCCCCCACCCCTTCTTGGGTGGGGGGTGGTTGGCGTCACTTAGTCTTTCCCTGCCCCCTCCCCTTCGCGGCTTCCCCTCCCTATTTGGCCATTCCTCTGGCTGCCCCCTCCCCTTCCTTACATGGTCCGGGAGCCCCCCGGCTGATCCTCTCCCTTGCCCTTGCCTCCATGAATGGCCTTGGCAGTCCTAGATGGTGCTAAAGCGACCAAATAAGGCAAGGTGGCAGACCAGGCCCCCCACCCCTGTCCCCGGCTGCTCCAACTGACCTCGTCCATCAGCGCGCTATAAAGCTGCGCTCCTGGCGCCGCGCACCCAGCGCTCGCCGCCGCTTGAGCCGAGCCCCGCGAGCCCCGCGAGCCCCGCCGCCCCGCGGACGGTGAGTCAGTGCCGCCCTGCGTCCTCGCCAGCCCGGGCCCTCAGCTTCTGCCGCTCAGTCACTCTTTAAAAAGAATCCCAACTTTTTGATGTGGTTCTAACTTTTAGAGGTCTCGGACCTCGCAGGAGAGAGCGCGCATGTCCCGCGTCCTCCCCTCATCCTACCCCAGGGGCGTTTGGGGTCCCTCATCTGCTGTGCATCCCCCAATCCGGGGCCAGGCGTGGGGATGTGGATGGGGGAATGGGCTTTCAGTCCGTGAAAAGGAGAAAAGTTGGAAGGGCTGGGGAGGATCTGCTAAAGATTTGGGGCGCCTGGGTCTCTAGGGCGGGCCTTCCATCATTTGGGCGAGGGGAGGAGGTCCTCTCCTCCTCTGCGTACCAGCTCCTCAATTGCCAAGGTTTCTTCCCGCCCGGAGAGGAAGGGAGAGGGCGGCCCCCACGTCCCATCGCTCCTGGCTCCATCCTCTCCCGGTGCGGAGAAGGGCAGCCTCACAGGCCCTGAGCGCGGCGCACCCTCCCCTCCCCAACCGCAGACCCCGCTGAAGCTGCGCCAGCATGTGCGACGACGAGGAGACCACCGCCTTGGTGTGCGACAACGGCTCTGGGCTGGTGAAGGCCGGCTTCGCGGGTGATGACGCGCCCCGCGCGGTCTTCCCCTCCATCGTGGGCCGCCCACGCCACCAGGTACACTTCCTGCCCCACTTGGCCAGTCCCCACCCCGGACAGTCCCCAGCCCTGCTCCTCACCCGTTCCCGCCACCTCCCCAGTGGAGCAGCTGAGGAAATGTCTCTCCTGACCCCACTGTTACACGACCTGAGTCAAATAAGGAAAAGGTTAGCTTCAGACCTTATTGTCTCCTCTATCCTTTAATCACTTTGCTTTCTTCCTGTACTCTCTGCCTTAAGGTCCTGTTCCAGATTTAAAGTAATATAACTGCTCTCAACGAATGAGGACCAACCCAAATTCCTCCCTCTTGTTCATAGCCAGTTTACAAGGCTCCCAGAAGATGTAATCTATCTCCTTCCTGGCTGTTGCATTTTTAGAAGCCAGACGTGAGGGAGGCAGTGAGTGCCATGGTGATAGTGGCATACCATCCTGTTTATTAAAGGAAATGCCATGCTCTCTGGGTTTCTCACATGCCTGACCAGACAGGCTGCCAGGGAGGACAGCATTAGTCCTGAGCGTGGTGAATGACCAGTGTTCCACAACAGCTCCAGATGGGCTGCACTGTACCATCAGTGACTGTGGCACATCAGCGCATTTCCTGATGTTCACATGATGAATGTCAACATCTTTTCTTAGGTAAAACACGGTGAACCATTCATTCATTCATTCCAAAATGTAATAATCTGTTTTCTAGTTGATATGGCTAATAAGCTTAATAATTTAATGAAGGCATTATAGTATTTTAAAAATGATATGAACCTGCGCTTCTTTAGTGAAATAGCTTTGTTCTCCCCTTTACAGTTTATTTGCTAAACAAGAGAATTATACATCTTTGCATGGGGATAAGCTGCAAGATTGATTTTAAATGAATTTTCAAAATTGGGGTCAAATAATATGTTTTGTTTCTAGGATGTTCCTTGACTTGGGAAATTGACTATCAATTGATAAAGTGCTGGCTCTATCCCTGATATGGCAGAAGCATGATTTTCCCATCTTTTACTTATAGGGGGTCATGGTAGGGATGGGGCAGAAGGATTCCTACGTTGGTGATGAAGCCCAGAGCAAGCGCGGCATCCTGACTCTGAAGTACCCCATCGAGCATGGCATCATCACCAACTGGGATGACATGGAGAAGATCTGGCACCACACCTTCTACAACGAGCTGCGTGTGGCTCCTGAGGAGCACCCCACTCTGCTTACCGAGGCGCCACTGAATCCCAAGGCCAACCGTGAGAAGATGACCCAAATCATGTTTGAGACCTTCAATGTCCCTGCTATGTATGTGGCCATTCAAGCAGTGCTGTCTCTGTATGCTTCTGGCCGTACCACAGGTATGCGTGGGCTGAGGGGTCAGTCACTGGTTAATCACCCTCCTGTCACGCTGACCTTGCTGTGAGTCCCTCGGATTCTCAGGCAGGCTGCTGGTAACAATAGCTCCCTGAAGTTAGTTTCAGAGCACACTTACTGTCAGGGCTGACAGCTCATGGTGTTAGATCTTTCCTTTATTTAAAGTATGTGATGTCACATGTTGAGGCTGAGCGCAATGGAGCAAGCTGGATTGCAGCAGTCATTGGTGTGTGTTCATACCAGCACAGCCTCTGGGCATATATCATCAATAAGTATACATATTTTTTTAGAGGATTTACATAAAGAAACCATGTATGTTACATTGGAGCAAAGAAAAACATACCTGCATGCTTAAACAATGTATTGATGGCTGATAAGAGGGATGATCATTTGAAAGTGTCCTCAGGTAATTTTCCTACTACTACATTTAAAAGGATGAGCTGTTGTTGGCCTCAGACTTAGTATCCATTTATTATGCTCAGTTTCATTCTCTGTGTGTGAGGGATCTAATTTTATGTGGATCAATGACTAACCTTGTATCTCTTAGCCAAAACTGGAAGTAGGTTTTACCATGGCTAACAGTGGTCCACAGAGATTTACCTTGTTCTTCTCTATTTCCTCTGTCAGGCATTGTTCTGGACTCTGGGGATGGTGTAACTCACAATGTACCCATCTATGAGGGTTATGCTTTACCCCATGCCATCATGCGCCTGGATCTGGCTGGTCGGGATCTCACTGACTACCTCATGAAGATCCTCACTGAGCGGGGCTACTCCTTTGTTACCACCGGTGAGTGTGTGTGTGTCTCAACTCAACAGCAAGTGTCTGCTTTGTTCCCTACTCAGTGAATCCACCGCTGTTTTCCCACAACTGGCTTTGTTCTTTTTTGGGGGGAGTGGGTAGTTCTGGTACCAGGAATCGAATTCACGACCTTGCACTTGCCAGGCAGGCGCTGTGCCCCTGAGCTAAACCCCCAGCCCCGGCTTTGTTCTTCAGAGCTTGACTCTGATGCCCTTTACTTCTGCAGCTGAACGTGAAATTGTCCGTGACATTAAAGAGAAACTGTGTTATGTTGCCTTGGATTTTGAGAACGAGATGGCCACAGCTGCGTCTTCCTCCTCCCTGGAGAAGAGCTATGAACTGCCTGATGGCCAAGTGATCACCATCGGCAATGAGCGCTTCCGCTGTCCGGAGACGCTCTTCCAGCCCTCCTTCATTGGTAAGTCTGGTGCTGAGACAGGGCTTTTTCTGGAGATCTTGAGGTCTCTCAGAGTAAAATCCTTTATGACTAGAAGGATTAAGGACGTCTTGAGTTAAATCATGGCTTGAGGTCACACACAGCTCAGCCTCTTTAAAGGGAATATCTGTGCCCTGTGCCCTTGTAATATGACTGTAAACTCTTTAAAGGGAATATCTGTGCCCTGTGCCCTTGTAATATGACTGTAAACTCTGAAGTTCTCATTACAAGAAAAAGATGAGACAGCTGTAGCTGAATATCACACATCTGCAGGAAAAGGTTATTGAGGAGAGCTGATTTATCCCAAGAAGGTCCATTACCAGGACCTGGACTTTCCTTTAAATTCACTTATTTAGTAATAACTAGACTCCTGTGTGTCACTACGCATCTTTATTAAGCGGTGATTTCCAAGAGAAAGCTTGGGCATGGTTTTAGTCTATAAATAAAGTGTGTTAATTTTAAGTTAAATGTGTCTTATCCTTTCGCAGTATGTCTCCATACATGACGGTTACGAAGGTGTTCACTCCAGATAGTTGCTAAACACAGTTGTTTGTTTCCTGGCAGTCTATGTGTATTATCTGTCAGCACTTTTAGGAGACACCTGTTCCACCTGTTCCCTGCAGTGTATCGCGTAGGAGAACATATGCCTCAGAAACAAATGGTGGCAGGTCACCAACACAGAGGAGCCCTGTTCTCATTCCTCCACCCTGGTCTACATGGACTGCAATTTTTTAAAACTTGTTTGTAGGTATGGAATCTGCTGGCATCCATGAAACTACTTACAACAGCATCATGAAATGTGACATTGATATCCGCAAGGACCTGTATGCCAACAATGTCTTATCTGGAGGTACCACCATGTACCCTGGTATTGCTGATCGGATGCAAAAGGAAATTACTGCACTGGCTCCCAGCACCATGAAGATTAAGGTGAAGGATTTTTCTGGCTGGGAAGGCCAAGGCAGATCTTGTATTACTAGCTGAACTTTGCTCACTTTACATTTAGCTTCCTGTCTCCTACGCACTTTGCCATTTACCTTTGCTAGAATTTTTTCTGATTTACTTTCCAGCAGTTTTCTCAAGATAAGAAATCTTAAAAATGTTTCATGCAGTAAACTCAAAAATAAATCCTTGGGGAAAGACATTACAATTACATCTCTGATTATATTTACAGGGCTAGCTTTTGCCATGCACTTGGCTTGTGGCCATATCATGCTGTAGTCAGAAAAGTGAGAAATTTTTATTTTGCAGAGTGTTTAATAGTGGATTGATGAAGTGGAGGATAGTTCTTAAAACTTAATTAGCCATATTATTGTGTGGTATGAAGTCTCCTACATTAAAGTAAATTAACATCTAATAATTTTTTTCTGGCACCATTAACATGTTGCTTGTTCTATTCCTTAGAGTTAAACTTCAAAGTTTAAATTGGAAATTTTTTGGTTCTTTTTTTTCTGCAGATTATTGCTCCTCCTGAACGTAAATATTCTGTTTGGATTGGGGGCTCCATCTTGGCCTCTCTGTCCACCTTCCAACAGATGTGGATCAGCAAGCAAGAGTATGATGAGGCAGGCCCATCCATCGTCCACCGCAAATGCTTCTAAGGTGCTTTCTCTCTTAGTCTGTCTTCCATTCAGGACGATGGTATTATGCTTCTTGAAATCTTCTGAACCACCCTTCTTCATCTCTCATCAATCATTGTACAGTTTGTTTACACACGTGCAGTTTGTTTGTGCTTCTAATATTTATTGCTTTATAAATAAATCAGACCAGGAGTTGCAACATACAAAAGGCTCTCATTTCTTTTTCCGGTAGGGGTGGGATGGGATAGGTATTTGGTTTGACATCCTGAGTATTGTAATATTATTAATATATACAAAATTCACCAGATAAATTAGTGTGACATTAAGTTGGGAGTTACAATACTAAATTTTGATTTTTATCTTTTGGAACAGATTTATAAATACATTTTGTAACTTTTAAGTGGAGTAGATTAGGCTTAGTTCAGTATAAGCAAGGAACAGAAATGGGTGAGACAGTTCTCTAAGATTAGTGGCTATGAATGACACTGTAAATTGTTAGTTTGGCATATAATCAAGTTGACTTTTTATAACTTTGCAGAAAATACACATATATATATTGGTAGCAAGAAGGTCAAAGAGTATTTTAAATGAATTCATTTGTCTTCCATTTTTCTGGCTTTTCCAGTTATGTTTTTGAGGCCTATGCATGAAATACAAGGCCAGGTGCAAAGCCTAGCCAAGTATCCTTCCCATTACCCCACAAACAAGTCAAGATCATTGAGCATGATCAAAATAAGCCTGAGATAGTAGGAGCCCTATAATTCTGCTCATCACTGGCTAACTTACACAATGAAGACCTTCAGTCTTTGCATTTCTTCAAAATCTTGGGGTTTGGGGTTGAACCTATGGAGTCCTGAGGAGTATGGGGTCAGAGGAACTACAATATTCACTTTGCTGTATGATGGACTTTCTGCAGAGTGTTTTGGGAAGTGTGCCGGAAACAGCATTCTTGAGGGTTCACACACAAGCCACGCAGACCACCAGTGTGTGTGATCTAGGAGGCTTCCATGAGATGGATGAGGGTCTGGGTTTTGAAGAATGGTTAAAAATTAAAGAGATAAGGAGAGCAAGGAAGAATTCTTAGCAGGAACAAATCAGGCAGAAACCTGGATACCAGGCATCAGGCTGCCTGGTGGGACATGATGAATTTTAGGACATTTATTGGGCAAGGTAGACTTCAACCTGGTTGCAGGAGCTTTCATACTTCTCATTTTTGAATTAATTGTTATGAACTGCTAAGAGCTCACAGAGCTATTTGATGGGTTTAGTTAAACTTAATCTATTAATGAGGGAACTGAGCCGGGCAGGTGCTGTGCCATTGAGCTATATCCTTGGCCCTGATGGTGCCTTTTAAAGCCATCTTTTCTAGTTTTGATCATAGTTTGTCAAGGGTCACTCCATTCTGTCCCATGCATTTTTGGAAGGCTAGGATCAAAATCTGGGGTTCTTTGGGCTCATCAGGCATTTTAGTGAATTGTTACTGCCATTATCATTGTAGGTCATAAGTGTGTCTTTATGTTCATTCATCAAAAATGTATCTCTTACTCCCTGACTCTGGACCAGGCATGATAGCAGAGGCAGGGGACACAGAAATTGATCAGAATACATTTTCGCTGCTGAAGGAGTTAGAATTTAGTGTTTTCTATAAAGTATAAATGATAAATTTGGTGGTATTTTCTTTAGATGAATTATAAGTACTATTTTCCTTTTAATCTTGGTTGTAACTTGAGGAATAGAGAGACTGATGTAAAAGTTAGGACCAGCCAAGGATTCAGATTTGGGGCACACGGGATGAGATATGATTCAGGTAGTCTCTGGGTCTTCTTTCCCATCTCTCAGGCAAGAAACACAAATACATAAACATCGTAAGTTTTATTTTCTGAGTGCTGTGTTAATGATTTAAATGTGAACAACTGATTACTGTATCACCTGTGGTTCTTTCCATTTTGGGGTGGAAATAAATGGATACTATTAATTTCTACTTAAAAGTAGAAGCTATAAGAACCATCTTCTGATACTTCGCACATAGGTTCTTGAATGTGGTGTTTTCTCATCTCTGATTGATGATGCAGTACAATGTATTAGAATAGCTGAATTGTCTAGAAATTATGCTTAAAGAAGACACTGAGGCAATAATGTTTTCTAAGGCCATCTTCATACACAGAAAATAACTGAGATGTCTACAGTGAATGTGCTTTTGGTTCAAATGCTGTTTATGTACAAAATATGTCAATTATATTTCTTCTCCACTTGTAAAGAAAAGAGTATTGTTGGTAGTTTCTTTTTTTTGTTGTTTTGTTTTTTTTTTTTTTGGTTTTTTCTCCGGTATCGGGAACCGAACTCACGACCTTGCGCTTGCGAGGCAGGCGCTTTTGCCGCTGAGCTAAATTCCCAGCCCCTTGTAGTTTCTAATATCCCCAAACATTATTCCTTCATTTTTCCTAACTGTGCAACAGGTATTATGTATATGCATTTAAATATTCAAAAGAGTAGAAACAAAAGGAAAAATACTTAAGAAAATGGAATATTTAGAACAATAGGGCTGATTTCATGTTTCCAGAGGCTAAAATAATGTTACTAGAGCTTCACCATTCTCTCCACTTCTTCTGTGGGATCTATTATGGTCTGAATTATATGCCTTCACTCCAAATTTGTGTGCTGAGGTCCTAATTCCCCGTGTAACTATATTGTGGGTTAAGGTCTTTAGAAAGGTAACTACAGTTAAATGAGGTCATAAGGTCACAATCCAACAGGATTGGTGTTTAGATAAGGAAGAGACACCAGGAGTAAGCACACAGAAGAAAGGCCATGTGAAGACACAGGAGGAATGCAACCATGTGCTCGGCAAAGAGAGGGGCCCCACCAGAAACCAACCCCTCTGATGTTCTGATTATGGATATCCAGCCTCCAGAACTGTGAGAAAATACGTTTCTGTTCTTTAAACAACTTAGTCTGTGGGATTTATTAGGGCAACCTTGGCAAACTAAAAGTACTTCTCCACAAGTTGGATATAATGGCCTAAGACCCCAATTTACAACCCACTTGGATAAAAAAGTGCCTTCCCATATCATACTAGGAAACATTCCAGGGAGATTTCTGAGCATGCTCAGACACGGGACTGAGTCACAGCATTTTACCATAGGGACTAATCAGAGAGGCAGGGTGATTCTTCAGAGAAAGAGAACAAATTGGTGCAAATATGCCCAATGAGCTAGAGCAGGGAAAACAGAGTTACCGCATGTGTTTTTTGGGGAAAGAACTGATTATTAGAAAGTCCAACCTTCCAGTTTAGGAATTTTATTTCATTTGACATGTCCTGAAAAGGACTTGAAGACAATGATTTTACCTGAAAAAAGTCTTTTAAGTGTATTATTTAACTGACTGGCTGACTGATCCAGCCAGTGCTTACCTACTGAGCTCTTCATACTGAACTAAAAATGGACATTACCACTGCCTTCACATGGCTTATAGTTCACTGATCCAGCGTGCATGTGTGTATGTTGGGGTGTGGGTGGGCACAAGTAATAGCCAAGCTGACAAATAAACAGAACTCCATGGATAGAAAGCAGTCTGCAGTGAAGGATTCTATTGCAGAAGAGGATTCTAGTTAGGTAAAGTTGTCAGGAAATCTGTCTTTGAAAAGTAATATTAAATCTGAGACCTGAAGGGTGGGAGAAGCAGGCAGTGGGAACAGTATGTGTAAAGACCTGGAAGTGGGAGTGTCTTCCGTATGTAAAAAGTGAGAGACAAGCAAGTGGCTGGGGAGTGATGATGGTTTAAGGTGGGGGCTGGATGTGTATGCTGGAGAGGTGGTCAGAGCATGAGTCGCACATGACCTTCAGAGCATGGTAAGAACTGTGGGTTCTATTCGAAGTGTAACAGAAAGACTCTCAAGAGTCTGAAACATGAAAACATAAGCTATACATATGCACAAATTTATGGACATACATAACTTTATTTTTATTAATAGGTATTAATTGTACATATTAATGAAGTTCAGCATGGTATTTCAACACATGCATACGGTGTTCAACAATCAAATCCAGCATCCCTTTATCTATCCACCTGCACACACCTTCCCAACCTTTAATAATCATGGTTTCATATTATGGTTGATGTTTTTAGCTTTCCACATAACAGAGAGAACTTGTAGTGTTTGTTTTTCTGTGTTAGGATTATCTCACGTACCATAATGCTCTCTAGTTATATCCATTATGCTGAAAATGACAGGATCTCATTTTTTATGACTGAAGAGTATTTAATTGTGTATATACTCTACATTTTCTTTATCCATTCATCTGTTGATGGGCACTGAGCTCCATCCCATATTTTAGCTAATTGTGAATAGTGGCACCTTACCCACAGGAGATAAATATATCATTTTCCTAACAATGAAAACAAAATAATCCAAATTAAAGTGGATAAATATCTAAATAGTCATTTATATGATTGCTAGATCATATGGCAGTTCCATTTCTACCTTTCTGAGGAACTTCCATGCTGTTCTGCATGACGGTTACACAGCAGTGTATGCTGGTTCCTTACTCCTTCACACACTCAGCACAATTTGTAATTTTTTCTGTTTTTGATCATTACCATTCTGACTGGGGTGAGATGACACCTTACTGTGGTTTTGATCCGCATTGATCTGGTGGTGAATAATATTGAGCATTTTTTTATATTTTTGTTGGTCATTTTTCTTCTGAGAAATGACTATTTAAATATTTACCCACTTTAAATTGGATTTTTTTTGGTGTTCACTGCCAGGATAAATGATATATTTTGAAGAATCTTTGTAGCTGTAGCATGGAGATCATATTGGAGATGCAAGAGCAGAGGTAAGTAAGCCACTGGGAAATTCTTGATGCAAACGGGAGACACTATGGTTTAAAGCTTAGGACTCTGTGAAGACAAGCACAAGTGTGGACAGAACTGAGATGGGATTCATGACCATCAAAGATAAAACTATCAGATGGTTAGCTAGGACTATATGTTTTCATGGAGATTCAAATGTTAAGTATTTCAGCCAAGGGTGGTGGTGCACACGTGTAGTACCACCACTTGGAAGGCTGCGACCTGAGGATTGTAAATTCAATGCCAGCTTGTCCTAGATAGTGAGACAAGATAGTCTCTAAAGAATTTTTTTCAAGGTAATTTAAATAAAGATGTCAATTGCCCTGGGTCTCAAACGGTGGTTAAAGATTTTCTGGGTGAAAGGAAGAATGAGTAATCACAGTGTTTTGGGATCAGAAATATGGTAGAAAGAGCTAACTGGTAGAACAGGGATGTACATTGGGATAAAACCATTAAGTCTATTTGGACAGGGTAGGGGAGCACAAGAAGCAGTTTCCGGAGAATGTAAAGGATGTGTTCTGGTCTGTAAGACACAAGTGATGATAATAACACTTGCCCTTCAAGGTTGCTGTTAGGATTAAATGGGATGAAGTTGGTACTGTGTTAGGCCTTGGCACATACCAGGACCTTAACTGATGTCTGTACCACTGTTATTTGATTTATACATATATGCTGTGTATGCTTATATATCGCACATTATGCACACACATCTATATATGTGTCCGTGAGTATATGTGTTGTGCAAGAACTTGAAAGAGAAGTATGGACATTTGGACTTTATAGGAGAAAAATATACGGGTTGTGTGTTCACTGATGACATTTCCTGAGAAGAGAATTAGCCCATCAAAATGATGTTGAAAGGTGAGTCAAACTAGTAAACAATATAAATAACAAACACATTTTATTTTCTGTGCTGAGGTGTAGGGAGTTCATGGCTGCATGATTGATTTAATATTTTAAGGACAAAATTTTCCAAAGCAGGTTAAGAACTTTAAAAATCATACATATTACTTGGCACAATAATTCCATCTATGGGAATCTAAGCTAAAGGAAATATAACAAAAACTATATGCGAAAAGTCTCATTAGGAAGTCATTTGTAAAAAGAGAATAGGTAAGCCAAATACTTCTAAAGAGAATATATATCATAGACTAATTAAAAACATGTTCAAGTTTATATTATACATTCTGTACACATATTTACATATATATTTTTGTATATTTATGTATTTTTGCACATTCTGTACATGTATTTTTCCATTTTAACAAGAACAAAGAAAGGTACATTTTAATAACAACTATGAATATAAAGATGAATTCTGACCTTTGAGTCTAGTAGACTTTTTTGAGTTTTTTGTTGTGATGCTTGTTGTTTTGTAATGGAATTGAACACACAAACTCACACTTGCCAGGCAGGCACTGTGCTGCTGAGCTATGTCCTTGTCCCCAGGAAGAGTTGAGTAAGCAGAGACCATTACAGATATAGTCTAAGATCAACTAGAGAATCTGCGGCAAATACACTTTAAACATCAAGGACGTAGAGGTAGATTCTCCTTCATTTTCAAAGGAGAGACTGATCAAAATCATTTCATAAAGCAGGGAGAAGAATGGCTACTTAATATGGGATTTTTAAAAATTCAATTAATAATTACAATCTTCTCAGGTTTCTAAAAAATCTAAACTGGCTTTTTGCATTCTGAGTGTAGGGAGCATTTTTCATGACACTTTGAATCTCCTCTCAATTAAAATGAAATTATATTAAAACTGCTTGCGCTTTACCGGAAAGTGTAGACACAGTCCCTTTTATATCTATTACCCTGGAGCACCAATTCTATTGTGCTGTAATAACTGGTTTGATTTTACTATATAAAAGGGAACTCCACGGAAATATAGTAAAGGATTCCATTTTTCAAAAAGAAAACCATAGGCTGGTAGGGACAAGAGATTCATCAGAAAGAAAGGGATAAGTGTTTACTCAAAATGTGTATCTTCATAGGCAGGATATAAAAAATAAAATATCTGATCTTCGACACTGAAACACGATACTCACTCAACACTTCTTGAGTGAAGACTTCAATCAGTCTGGTCTCCACAGGATTGGAGTGACCTCCAGCAGATGTGAAGCCTGAATGAGACATAAACTGTTGCTGTACTGTATTCATCAATGAGATTGCGTTTGTGACCAGAGCAAAACCTAGCCTGTTTCGATGGCTTCTGTCATCTTGGGATATTCCCCCTCCCAAAATTTCACTTTGCTTAGGGGCTCTGATGTGACTTTTATACCAGCTGAAAAGTACGCTTAAAATAATAAATCTTATCCAGAATTTTTATTTTAATTGAGAGGGTTGTTTAGAATACCCAAGGCATCAAGCTGTCAAAAGTGAAAGTCTATTATTGGGTAATTTTATTCCTTTAGGGGTTGGGAGAATTTTGCTTTCTTTTGGCATCTGAATGAAAATCTATTTGAAGCTACTCTAGTTACATTTTTTGAGGGTTAATATCTGTGTGTGTATAATGTTAAGAAAGTCAAAAAAGAATTTATCCCATTGACTTAGCTTCAGTTCAAGGCTGAAGTTTGCCTCCTGGCCTGGTTCATCACAGAATTATATTACCTTTCAAAAGGCAATCCCCACTGACATATAACTCACATACCGTGAAATTCACCCAGTTTGAGAGAAAAAAATTCAACAATGTTGGGCATTTTTACAGGTGAAAGCAACCATCACCACAGTTAATTTTAGAACATATTTATCACCTCAAAAAGAAGCTTCAAAGTCTAGCAATTACCCCGTTCCTGGATCCAGAAGAACTTCGGTGTGACTGTCTGGCTCCATACACTTTCTTTCCAGAAACAAGTAAGATTGAGATTTTTGTCTGAATAAAAAATGATGAATTTTTGCCCTCTGTTATAAGAAAAGTAAGAAAAGCACCCAGGGTCTTTTCCTGTGTGATTCCTCATTGAGCCTCTTTCCCTTTGTGAAAAACAAAACCTCAACAAATCGCTCTCAGTGATGTCACTGACTTTTACTACTGATTCATGAATCAGGCAGCAGCATCTCATCTGAAAGCAGATGGGCCTTACAGGTATAAAAATGACTGAAGAAAACAGAAAAAATGAAAAGGAAGTAGATTTGTCATTTCAAAGTCACTTTCCTTGTAGGAGACTTCCTCTTCATGCTATCTCAGGCTGAGTGGGGCCCTTTGGATTGGTTACTATGAATCTGCAGTTTTCTGGAAAGTCGGCTTATTTCTAAATTCAATTCGATGCAGCTAGCATAAGTAGTTCAGACTGGTCTGTTTGGGCCTAGCGTAGGAGCTCAGTCTAAAACAGTAATGGCCCCCTGTGAATTTTATTTAAGTTCCTCATAGCACAAAATCTCTTTTGCACAGAGACGACTTCTTGAGATACCTCATGTACACCATACTCTATGTCTCCTACTACCTTGTTTCACAGCACATATCATAGTTTTTGTTTAAATCAACTTTATTGAGTTGTAACTTGTATGCAGTGAGGTGTGCACACTTTAAATATGTGATTCAGTGGTTTTTGACAAATGTATATACCCACTAACTGTCACCCCAAACACAATATAGCACATTCCAGCACCTCTCCCAAGTCCTTCCTGCTCCCTCAAATTTAATCCTTTCCATAGGTAATCAGTCCCAGGCAACCCTTCATGTCACCCTAGATTAGTTTAATCTCTTCTGAAATTTCATATTGATCATAATTTAAATTATTTATTTCTTTTCTGTCTCTATTACTAGACTTTAAAAAGCTCCACAATTTTCTAGCATAGTGTCTTTCATAGAGTCAGATGGTGCCAAGATGAATGCACCCCAAATAATTCTATGTGTCAGTTTTGATTTTAAAAACAGCAGCATCTGGCAGGGCCTGGTGGGGCCTGCCCGTAATCTCAGCACTCTAAGAAGCCAAGGCAGGAAGGTCATAAATTTATACCCAGCCTGGACAACTTAACGACTTAGCAAGACTTGTCTCAAAATAAGGAAATAGAGGTGGTTGCAGATGTAAATTAGTGCAAAGGCCCTGGGCTCAATACCCAGCACTGCAAAAAAGAAAGAAAAGAGAAGAAAGAATTTAGATATTTACAAGTCATGGTGAAGATAACCATGAGAATTATCCTGTGGAAGTCTCTTTGGGCTCATGGCCTTATTGCCTTCCTTGCCCTTACCTTTTCCATCACCACAATACAGAAGGAAGCCTTGAATGGGAAAGAAAGTCATGATAAAGATCACAATCCTTTGCTCTGAGGCAAAATGTGTTATTTAGAGAGAAACAACTTAATGTTTTGAAACTTTGAATTTGAACTTTCAACTTTGTGGATGAAGACATTTTTAGTAGTGTCTTGCACCTCCACAGCCTGGATAACAGGACAGAAGATCAACTGTAACGGTACACCCACTTCTGAAAATACACTCACGACATGTGTATCCACCAGCAACGCCGTAGCAGCTCTGTTAATTTTCGATGAAATATCTTTCTGTTAGCATATAATCGAATCTTCACTCATGTACCTGCTGTCCTCCAAAGGTGGGAAAGGTGTGGGCTGGCATCTCTCATTCGCACCCGGAAGCAGGGATCATGTCTGGCATCTGCACTGTGTAGATGGAAAAGCTGAGGGCCAGAGTTGTTGCTGCAGAGTTTTCCACGTTCCCTTTGTAAGCTTTCGTTTCCGTTTGGCAGTGTGTGCATCTCCCTTCAACTGAAGTTCTAAATCTCTTCCTCTCTCAACTATCTAGGACACATGAGAATTAACCTACTCACGTAGATTACAGGGCCCCAGCCCTCATTAACCTTAATATTGAAAGAAATACAGCTTTTGCTGTTGGAGAAATGGAAATGCCCTTCTACTGGGCATGAAAGGCAACATTTTACGAGCTGAGGAGATGGCCTTTCTAGGAAGTAGTTCACTCGGTGTAAATGTATTTCCACATAGTGAAACAATGTCACTTATGTAATACTCCTG